CAAATCTTAAGATCTTTGTCCAATTTATTTTTGTTTTAGTTCGAATGTGGATGTTTTAGATACGAATAGACATTTTCTCAAATAGAGATATCAGATATCTCGAATTATCCACTGCCTTTTGCCAACCTTATGGGTATAGACAATGCTCTCCTTTGTGGTAGTAAGAGCAACTCTAAGAGAGTGGTCATATTGGTAGCCTTCATATGCATTATGAAGGATGCCAAGGTGATGCGCAAACTCGGAGTCTTCATATTTGCAGCCTCCATATCATGGGACCTACTCGCTAGTGTGGCATTATTTTACCAATATTTCTACCACACACAACTGTCTTATGGAGTGTGCACCAAGATGCTAAATATGAAGGTCGTGATGACATATATGGAGGGAGCTCCATAATTATGACAGATTCTGTTAGATATGGCGAGTGCTAGAGTACTAGTTTTGATATGATCGTCATAGTGCCATTTATATAGCTATTGGCCCATTATGTTGACTCTACTAAAGTTGCTCTAGTTATGTCCAAAGTTATTACTTCAGGAAACAAAATATATAAATATTCATGCATTGGCAACCAAAATCAAATACCAATGTATTGCTATAGCCTATAAAAGTTTTTCTTTGCATCAGATGGCTAAACACTTGTGTCATTATAATCCTAATTTTTTTTTGGGGGGGGGGGTCCCAAATATACACCAGTCAAATAAATTAATAAAATAAATTGTGATACATACTCAAATAAACAAGTAAAAAGATTGTAATGTTAATTTCTTGAGAACTTTTCAAAGAAAGTTTTGTGGGAACCCTAAGAGGCTATTGACGTTTTGTACCCAAAACAAAACCATCCTTTTCCAAATTTACAGGTTGAATGGACCACCAGTGACTCAAATCAGCTAATACTAGTTTTATAAGAAAGACATCCTAGGAGCATCTTAGGTTCGATAAATATCAAGGAAAACATGTAGTACAATAAAAACACAACTAGACGTAGAATGACTGATAAAACATAAAATTACATTAAAATCATATTAGCCTTCTTCTTCCTCTGATTGATTGCCGCCTTTCGGAGATTGTAATCGCGTTGAACCAACAGTAAAGGAAAGGGACATCTGCAAGCGCCCACACCATGCCAGGCTTTAAAGACCACATTATCCACTCACCGCTTGAAACGAGATCTAGTAGGCACTGAAGAACCATCAGTTGGAGCATCACCTCAACAGACTTACAATACATCACCACCAATCCAGAGATCAAAGTTGCCACATCAATTGTTGACGTGTCCTAGATCCCTTAGAGAAACTGAACCATGTCGCAGAATAACATGGAAAAAGATATCAAAGTTGTCACATCAACAGCTAGCTAATTGCTCTCCTCAATAGACACATCAACTGCAAAATCCGAAGAGAGCCAACGTATCTGGCAACACAAACTCGTGCAAATGATAAATTGTCGATCGAGTCAACTATATTTTCTCTACACATAATGGATGACAACTATAGTTATCGTCCTAGCTTAGAGAAATTCTCACCAAAAGCATATAAACCCAGTAATAACCAACAAAATAGAGCAAAGACGATAAAATACCATTATATAGCAAAGTTGGTACCACGTCACTAAAAACATGGAGTGCTCTAAAACAGTGTCGTAGCCTCCATATTATATAGCAGAGTTGATACCACGTCGCTAAAAACATGAAGTGCTCCAAAACAGTGTCGTAGCCTCCATATTTTGAGGTGGAAACGTAGCTTTGGAGCACTCTCCAAATCCAACTGTCCATGTGGGAGGGAATTTCACTTGTTTTCTTCCTCTTCCTACCACACGTACCAACATGCAGCTGGGTTTCTTATCAAGACATGCGCCCATTAATGCTCTTCGCCGCGTGTCTATTTGGCCACATGTGTTCCATCCCATGCCTTTTCTCGCCTCCTCACCACCCTCGCCTATAAAAGTGTCGTCGTCGACCTCTATCCACTTCTCCACTTCCCTATTCGGCTACTTTGCTTCGCCTTCGCACCTCCTCCTCTCCCTTCTCTAGTTCCTAAACTTCCATTTCCTCCTCCTCCTCACCATGTTGTCGCACCCATGTCCAGAGTGGATCGATCTAACAGAGGAAGAGGAAGGACAACGCATGAGATGGTTGGCCTGGAGTTGGTCGTCGTCATTAAGACGGAGAACGCCTAGTACATGGTGGATCATGTCGATGATGAGGAAGACCCCGACATGATGGACAATGTTGAAATAAACTAGTTGGACGACGAGCATCTCGTCCTCAAGAGCGTGCTTATTAAGTCCCGCAAGACACGTGTGGAAGATGTGACTCCATCTTCACGCCCTCACTAGAAAGGAAGCATGCATGACACACCGTGCAGCCACCGCCTGCCCGCCCCTGTCTTTGATGAGAAGGCGAGGTAGGTGAAGCTTAATAATGCCATGGCAGAAGCAAGGGTGATGGCCGACGAGAGGGAGCGCATCATCTGAGGGTGTGTGGCCGCTCCATGCTAGTGATGGTGCCTCACGACATGGGACCTAGACTCCCTCGCCCATTTCGACACCGCTGAGACTGCCTCCAGCTTTGGTTCTCGTTGCGCCAAGTCACACACTTGCTCTTCCCATCACATTTAGTTTAGTTATTGTCTCGTCAAATAATAGTGTTCCTTTTTCTGACCGGCAGAGTGTTCCATCCAACCTTACATATGTTCCCCTCCTCTCTTTGTTTTTTGTCCAACTCTGGTTTTTTCATTGGTTTTCTCTGAAAATCATCTTAATCGTCCCACCTTTTGTTGACACTAAACTCATACCTCAGACTCGGACCTGTAATGCAGCCGCATGGGTGATTTTTTTCACGTTTTCCTTAGGGAGTCTTCGAGTATGGTTTGGGGGGCCAAGGCGGTGGTGCAGTTCTAGTGTAGAATAATGTTCACGCCTCTCTTTCCCCATTCTAATGGTCTGCTTATCATCGTCAGTAGGCGTCTGGAGAAATGTCTTCTGGGGGGGGGGTCTTCCAGGATCCAGTCGGATTAGGTTTCCGGTGGATGGACCTGGATTCGGCTGCCTTTCTTTGTCTTTGAAGTTCTATAGACCCTTACCAGCATATTGTTCTTCGAGGCGACGATTTGCTTCGCAGACCGTGGTTGCCGGCGTCTCCTGGTATGTATCGACGACCCTCCGGTCATTGGTTTGACAAGCTCTTGGGTTAAAAAAAGTATGCTCCGTCGAGGCGGAGGCCTAGAGACGGATGGAGCTATGCTCACGGTGCGCCACCAGTGGATGCAGGAGAAAGAAGACTTCGGCACACCAAAAAAATGAACAATTTATTTGTAAGGGTGTATTTGTAAGGACATGTGATGCTTAATACATGACATTAGGACATCTCCAATGCGGACCCTCAAGACACCCGCAATCATTTGGACCGAGCTACCCGGATGCTGCAAGCCATCCAACACGGACATGTATTTGTCCCTGGGTGTCCGTTTTCCCACAAACCAGGGGGCTTTGTAGGAGTTTAGACCTCTGACACGTAGGACTTCAACACCCCCGGCGCATGCAAAACTGTGCCGGAGCCCATGCATTTCGAGCGGTCTGCACTATTTTCCGCACCAAACCCCTCCTTTCCCCACCCTCTCCGCTCTGATCACTGCCGCCCTTCTCCCCAATTCACATGCTTTTCGCTTCGGCCGCATGGACACGTACGAAGAGCCATTGGAGTCAGTGGAGGTCGAGGATCTAGAGATGGTGGTCGCTCAGGAGATCAACTCGGCAACACTACAAGCCCGCCACCTCAAAGCGAAGGCAATGCATGGTTCGGTCGGCCGGAAAAAGGAAGGGACGTGGGGGCGCCAGGCATGGCCAGGGATGTGGGGAACCATTGGTGACGCCAACCACGCATGCGCCGCCCTCGTTGGGGCAATATCAGACGCCTATTTCTATGGAACCGAGCAGCTCGGTCGGCAGTCCCCGGTCTTCACTGGTGGGTACGATTCGTATTGCGACGACTTCAATGCGGCGCCGCTCCATTTCGCCGACTTGGTATTGCCTCAGTTTGTCCAGTCACGAATACTGATGGTAGATCAACTCAGTGCCCGCTCTCTACTCTTCCATATGTCTCAACCGGGCGAGACGACACAGACAGGTAGTTGTTAAACATGATCCACAACGGGGACAGAGGCGGAGAAGCGAGAAGGGGCGACGGGCAAGATGACAGTGAGGTTCGAGGGTATCTTGGCAAAGAAAGAGGAGGCATGTGTCAAGCGCTTCGACGTGAAGAAGGAAAAGAAGGCGAAGAGGTTTAACATCTTGATGGAGGCTACCAAAGAAGAAGATCGACCTCAAAGAGAATAAGACCAAACTTGAAGAGAGGAGGGTTGAGCTCGCGGCCGCTTCAGATGATACCAAAATGTTGACCATGTGGATGGACGAGTTGGATCCTGATGCGGCGATGATCATGCGTGTCGCCCGTGTCAATATGTTGAAGCACTTGGCGGTCAAGGTGGTGGTGACCGAGAAGGGGGCGGATGGTGATTAAGTGACGACGAGTCAGCGAGGATGCTCGGACTACTGATCCGCAAGGGCAAAAATGCCCTTTTTTGCACTGACACGTTTGTGATCGGGCGCATGTTAAAACTTGAAACACCCGCCTTCTTTGGGTTGTGATCGGGACAATATGAACATTGCACGTTAATTCACTCATATTGCTATGCATTTAAAAGGAAATTGGTCGGACCAGTGTGGTTGGATGACTGGCTCTTGTAATGGTATCTGCGGACTGATCTGACGGACAAATATTGGTCTGTTTTAGGGGACGCCGTTCCACGTCGTTGATAAATAGCCGGAAAAACCTCGGAATGTTATTAAGAGACACGACGCGAGTACACCAATAGTCAGCAGAAAAGGTCACGCCTCCCAGAGTCCAACTACAGTACTACTAGTAGCCAAAGCCAAAGGAAACGGGAATATCCCGTCTTTCCGGCCACCCGGCGTGAGCCAAAGGAGGCAGGATCCCGGCGATGGCGGTTCCCGGAGGGGAGGGAGAGGAGCGGGGGCGGCCGGTGGTTCTGGTGACAGGTTGCTCGGAGGGGGGCATCGGGCACGCGATGGCGCGCGCGTTCGCGGCGGAGGGGTGCGCGGTCGTGGCCACGGCGCGGTCGCGCGCGTCCATGCGCGGGCTCGAGGGCGACCCGCGGTACCTTCTTCTGGAGCTCGACGTGCGCTCCGACGAGAGCGTGCGCCGCGCCGTGGAGGACGCCCTGCGGGAGCTAGGCCGCGTCGACGTGCTCGTCAACAACGCGGGGATCCACCTCGTCGCGCCGGTCGCCGAGGTGCCCATGGAGTCGTTCCACCAGGTTTTCGACACCAATGTCTATGGTAGGCTACCAAAACCATTGTTTTCTTTTTGTGCGAGGATAGTTTGTTTCTTCTGTTTGTTTGGCACCTTGACGATTGCGATGTCCTCTAAGGTAGACAAGATATTGGATTCTGGATTCCGACAGATTCATGGTGAAACAAAGGGTTTTATAGTTGGATATATCTGCGACTGTCCTCTTTCTTTTAAAAAACAAAGAACACCATAAGGCCGTCTTGCCATGAAGGAAGGGAGGATAGAAAATATGTGAATTTATTCATGGGAGCGCTTCAAATGTATATGTGCAGAAGACTTGAAGAAGTAGACTTTAGTCAGTGGTGTGCTGTCAGTATCTAGCTTATTCGGCTGAAATTTAACGAATCACATTGGCAATCATATTACAGCAGCAGCTAGTATAGGATGCCTACAGCTTGAATTACAATCTGAAGTGAACAAGGGGCTGTATACCCCTAATTTTAAAACATATAGCAGGGCATGCTGCATCCTGTACCACTGATGAAATGATCAGGGCAGTGGTCTTTCAAAGAGTATATGTTGTCCCAGTGGCAAAACTGCTAAAGATAAATGAACACATTAGGAGAAGTATAGTGTGCTTGCTTCTGCAATGTTAACGGGGTCTGGGAGGCAATTGAAATTGTGGAGTTCAGAAACTGTCTCTGCCCATCTTTCATTAATCCTGTGATAAACCTGTCTAATCTCTAATTGCATAAGTAATTAGAAAACAATTCAGCAAGGCCAGCAGTTGTTTCACCTTTAAGACTGTCTCTCATCTGAAAGCTTAGTGATATCAACTGAATGTGTGTACTTTACAACTTCATCCTATATGAACTATTGAGCCGTTGGTCTTTTATAATGCTTCTGTTCCTCTCCTTGGATTGGATGGTTCATTTTTGTAATGTCTCTTTTCAAAAATAGTACTTCCGCCGTCCGGAATTAGTTGACGCTCAAATGTATGTACCTAGACGCATTTCAGTGCGCTAGATACATCCGTTTAAGCGTCAACTAAGTGCGCTAGATACATCCGTTCGAGCGTCAACTAATTCCGGACGGAGGGAGTAATTAATATTTGGACCTGCATTTGTGTGACGAAATGACTTTACCTGTCATTTCACATGCAGGAACAATGAGGATGATTCAAGCAGTTATTCCCCATATGATGGAAAGAAAAGAAGGTACAATTGTGAATGTTGGAAGCATTACAGCCTTGGCTCCAGGACCATGGGCTGGTGCGTATTCGGCATCAAAAGCTGCTCTTCATGCATTGAGCGATACATTAAGGTTTGTGCGTTCAAGGATTATTGTTACAGTGATTCTGTGCTGTCCACTAAATGTAAAGCAGTTTTTTATGGGGCAACTTAAAGCATCTGAAGGTACAAGCCTATCAATGGTGAAACATTACTTATGAATGCAACTTTGGATACATTCTTAAAATTGAAATTCCTTCATCTCCAAAAAATTGATACTATATTAATTTTCTGAGTCCTAATCTAACTTGGGGGATATGTAGAGCACTTAATAGTTAGTTTATGTTCAGTAGTTAGTATTAGATGTTGTTGGTACCTTTACTTGTACTCCCTCCGTTCCTAAATATAAGTCTTTGTAGAGATTCCACTAGGTGGACTATATACGGAGGAAAATGAATGAATCTACACTTAATATGCATCTATATACATCCGTATGTGGTTCATAGTGGAATCTCTACAAAGACTTACATTTAGGAACGGAGGGAGTATATCACAAGATAGTTTAATCATGTTGGGAAATGACTGTTTGACAGAATCTGTAAGATCTAAGAATTCAATGGCAACATATACAACATAGGAACACTATTCAGATTTTTCCTTTGTAATTTCGCATGTCATGTTCTTGCACGGTTATCTCTTTCAACTTGTTACTGAACATTTTATTCTCTTTGAATATGCATTTCTTCCTTATCTTCCATCCTAACTTGGTAGATATTGCATTGTTGCAGGGTGGAACTAAGAAATTTTGGCATAAATGTCATGATAGTTGCCCCAGGAGGCACAAAGTCAAATATAGGAAGCAATTCTGCGGACAAATATGATCAAATAAACGACTGGAAGTACTACAAAAAATACGAGAAATCACTTCGAGCCAGGACGGATATATCCCAGGGTGCCGGGTGTGTTGCAGCAGAAGACCTTGCAAAGAGAGTTGTCAAATTGGTTCTTAAGAAGAATCCTCCCGCTTGGTTCGCTTATGGCCAATTCACTGCTATTCTGACGATCCTGTATTATGCCCCATTGTGGTTCAGAGATTACTTCTACAGGCTGGTCATGAAAATGTAATCTCTGGAAGATAGCTCTTGCGTGAACCAGAGAGATTGCCCCCTCGTGTCCCATTTTCATTTCATGAGTACTACTTGGTCTCTCGGACTCTGACTACAGATATATTTCACAATACATGAGTACACACACTTCCAGTCCATATCCATTTGTAACGATCAGTCCAAGTGTAAAGTCCTCCCGGTTATTATGTAATAATGGTTTTAGTAATGTAATATTATTCCGAAATTTATGGTTTCTCGTGTTACTGTCATAGGTGAGAATCTGTGGAACATATTCTTCAATCTTGTGCAGCACCCTCATTTGTGCCTGGCAGGAAATTGCCATTTGTTTCGCTTGCGGCCTATACGTCTGGGTTTACAGGATTGTGGGTGCTGCACAATCCTGAAGCACAAAAAAAAAACTCAATTTCCTGCCATAATGGGTATTCTTCATGCAGTTTTGAGTGTGATTACAGCCTATTCAGGATTTGCAGCCTATAAGTCTGGGATCGCAGCAGCAACGTTTCTTTTTGGGTGGATTACAGAAATGCTGCTAAATTGAAACAATATGGCTGCTCCTGCAGTTCAAACATCCTGAAATCTTCGCTCTAGGCTTTCTAGCCGGCAGCGCGACTATGACCCGGTTTGGTAATCACCAGCTCCCGGAATCCGCTGAGCGAGGAAACTGCAGCTCCGCCAGCTCTGGGAGTGGAGTTGTGGAGCGGAGCGACGCCGAACAGGGCCTATGTCTCGCGTATAGCGAGTTGCAGCGCAGACTCGCGTCTAGCAACCGCCGAATGGGCCGGCCCAGCAGGGACCACATTCCTTGAGCACTCTTTTGTCCTTTTGTTTTTTTTGGAAATTTTTTATTTGTTTATTTCTTTTTTACTTTTGCTTATATTTCGAAATATTCTAAAAACCATTTAAAATACACAATTGAAAAAAATATTAATCACGCATTTGTAAAATGTTAAATATGTATTATTATTTTTTCTAATGTGTAAGAAAATTGTATAATGTTTATTGAAAAAATAGACATCAAAACGCGAGCACACGCACACACACACACACACACATATTTACATATATGAAAAAAAATGTTAATGATGTATTTAAATAATGTTAAATATGTATAAAAATGTTCCTGCTGTATAAAGAAATATAAATCTGTATAGAAAAATAGACATACAAAAAATTTTGTTTAAAGAAATGTCAATCATGTATTAATGTATGTTTAGAAAATGTCCCTGATGTATAAAAAAATGTAGAATGTGTCTGAAAAAAGTTGACATGAAAAATATATGTTTGAAAAAATGTTAATATTGTCATTCAAAAAGGTTCAACGTGTACACAACTTTTTTTGCATGTCAATTAATATTTAATGTGTATAAAAATGTTCCTATTCTATACATTGAAAGAAAAACCGATGAAACCCAAGAAAGGAAACTAAGAGAAACAAGGGAAACCAATGAAAACCAGAAACCAAAACAAAGGAAATGAAAGAGAGAAAAAAACAGTGCAAAAGAATGAGAAGCAATGAAAACCAAGAAAGAAACAAAGCAAACCAATTAAAATCAAGAAAGAAACAAAGAAAACCAATAAAATAAGAATGAAACTAAAAAACTAGTGAAAATAAAGAAAAATGTTTGTAGAAAAAATATTCTACAAATTGTTTTCTTAATTTCAGAACGTGTTCATGAATTTGATAAAAATGTCCTCAGATTTTAGAGAATGATCACAAATTTAAAATAAGCTCTGTGATTCCAAAAAGAATGTTCCTGAATGTTTTTCAAAATAGAGATTTTAAACATTGTTCACGACTTTCAAAAAGATGTTCATGAATATAAAAAAATCCTGGATTGAAAAATATGTTCATGAATTTTAAAAATGATCATGAGTTTTAAAACTATTCAGTAATTTGCAAATTGTTCTCGGTTTCTAAAAAGTTTGCAAAAAATATCACAATTTGCAAAAATATTAATGAATTTCAAAAATTGTTCTTGATTCAAAAAAGTTGGAATTAAAAAATATAAAAAGTAAAAAATAACTATAAAATTAAATAAGATGGACAAAATAAATATAGAAACAAACTAACGGGCTGGCCCATTAACAAGGTTGGGGGTGCGCATTTGGTCGCTATCTCCTGGCCCACGTGGGGATAGGATCCCCGGTAGTTTGAGAGCAAC